TCTGTGAGGACAAATACATCGGCGCCACTGAGTGCAGGAGGGAATGGGAATGTAGTAAATTAACCTAGAAACAGTGGAAGGATGGTGGGTTGCTATGGTTACCTCTTGCTCTGCGCGTTCCACTCGCCGCTGAATCTCGCGTTGCTCCTCTGCAGCTTGAGCCTCGTCGCGGCGCACGCGCGCAATGTTGTCCTTATTGCGCACATGCCAGCTCTTTTTGGGCAAAATGTTCATTATGTAATACTTAAAGAGAACAGTGAAACAGACAAATGTAGTTCTAGTCTCGTAGCAAGTTTGTCAAACCACATACAAGGTCCAATAAATAAGGCAACAGCTTAGTTTATGGCTCAAAACAAACAGACTCGTCAACAAACTAACTTACGCAGCGAAATTCAAACTCGCCACTGAATCCCTATGTAAACTAGATCCGTTTCTTCCGTTCTGAATGTTCACAAAAATACAAAAGAACAGCTTTCTAAAAAAATATATACCGACTCATTTGTACAGAGAAAGAGCTTTGCAAACACCGGAAGTTGCAGTGGCGTGATCACGTCACACGTAAAATGTTTGTGACGCATATAATAGTCATGCACTACATGTAGGCTACCACATGAGGGCGCAGCTAAAACAAACCCTCATTGAAAGCCTTTTGTTTGCCAGGGAAACAATTTTCAGAATTTATGTAATACTTGAATATATCGTAACGCTCAGCAGTTGATAATGATAGTGTATTTTAATTTTTAATATTTTAAAATGTTTTAAAGAATGCGCAAAAAAGCCGTTTTAATTGTCTTTTTTTAATGGTTAAAGACTTTAAAAAAGGTACACTGGCTCATAAAAAAGCATATATTTTATAAATATGCTCTTATGCTCTCCAAATCTGCATTAATTTGATCATACAGTAAAACAGTAATATTGTAAAATATTATTACAATTTAAAATAACAGTTTTCTATTTTAACATATTTTAAAATGAAATATATTCCTGTTATGGCAAAGCTAAATTTTAAGCAGCCATTATTCCAGTCTTGAGTGTCAAGGGATCCTTCAGAAAGCATTCTGATATGCTGATTTGTTGCACAAGAAAAAAATATATATATTTTTTTTATCATTGTTAAAAATGGTTGTGCTTCTTAATAATTTTGTAGAAACAGTGATAAGTTTTTTCAGGATTCTTTGATGAATAGAGAACACTGAAATATGAATATTTTGTAACATTATACTTCACTGTCACTTTTAATCAAATCAATGCATCCTTGCTAAATAAAATATAAAAAAAAAAGGAGTGCACAAATTTCAGAATTCCAGTATAAACTGCCCTGAAGTCTTAATATGGTCTAGGGTCTTCATCAGGATCAAATGCATAATTTGAATGTTGATTCCACTGTGTTGCTGTGTGGTATAAGGGCTTGGTCTCTCTCTGGGGCTGCTGTGGTTCACGTTGTTCCTTCTGCACTGTGGCATTCAGCTCTTCAATTTGTCTGACCAGGAACTGCTTGTCACGCTGTTCCTGTTACACCCAGATAAATATGGATTAAAGGATGGATTCATATTGGTTCCAGTCAGAGGATAAATTGGAAACAAAAAAGTCATAGTTTAGGTAGGTGATCACACCGCTTATTATAAATGTTATATTATTTTATCTTAGCATTTTTGTGATATTTATCTAATATTCAGACCACAAATCACAAAAAGGTATACAAAGGAAATGTATTGAAATTAAATCTTATTATATTATACAATTACACAATTTAAATATCCATAGCCATTCTAATCCATAGATTTGGATTACTAATAACTAAGAACTTACCAGTTTACCTGTAGCCATTAAACAGCAAGACATTTATCCTAAAACTTACGCTGAAAAGTGTCAGCGCTTTCTATTTCTGTGCTTTTGAATGTCCTACTTGTTAAACAATCTTGAAAAATAAGTATTACATTTCCACAGAAATATTAAGCAGCACAACTGTTTTCAACATTAAAGGGGTCATATGATGCGATTTCAAGTTTTCCTTTCTCTTTGGAGTGTTACAAGCTGATTATGCATAGATAAGATCCCTGAAGTTGCAAAGACTAAAGTCTCAAAACCAAAGAGATATTCTTAACTAAGGACAGATATAATTTCTGTTAGATTTACACTATTCAGTATAATAAATGTCACAAGACCATACAGAACTGTATTAGATCCGTATTACATAAGGAGAGAACAATGATTAATTGTATTACAGTATTTTTAAAATAGTATCAATTTACAACACGTGTGTGTGTGTAAAAAATATGTATGGAATTTTACAATTTCATTTTATTTATTTTAACATTTTTAAAATAATATTTTGGTAAATATACTAAAATAAAATACATTTTATAAAATAGGATTTCTTATAGAAGTAAAAAAGTTTGAATCCCCTTATCATATATGGGAAAGGCATTTTCAGAATGTATTTACATTTTATTCAAAAGGTTTAGTTATTACTTCATTGTAGTGTTACCGTTAGTACATTTTACAGCAATAAACAAACTCAAGACAGTATACTTATAGCATTATATACAGGGACGTATGTCAAAATATTTAAAGTGTATATATGTAGACAAACATTTAAAGCTCTCTCTTACTTGAGACTAATTGTGTGCTAACCTTACACATGTATCATATTAACTCTCTGTTACACACATATACACACTGTCTTACCTGGAGGTGAATGGACTTGATTGTTGAATTCTCTCAGCTCCATCAGAAAACAGGGACTATCAACATGGATTCCACATAAAACAAGCTAAAAGACAAACAGCACAATCCAGAAACAGCAGCTGTCAGTAGTGCATAGCTATAGTTTGACAAATTCCCACCCGATGGAGAAAGACACAGGTGTGTCAGGACTCTGTCATCTGGACATTGAATCTCATGGAAATTAACTTTGGAAACACTTCCTTGTACTCATTACCAGCTGATCACTAGCTGCATGCTAGGCAGACTAACTGTGTCTTGTCAGTTGCAACCTATTGACAGATCCTGTTACACTGTGTTAACATTTTTAAAGCATTTTGCTTTCACTGTGGACTCGTAACAGATTTACTAAATTAGTTGTGACTAAGTAATTACTAATAATTGAAGAATGAAGTTTATTTGTAGGGGGAAAAAAAGTTATGAGTTAAAGTTATAAACTGGTTATGAGCACTGGTCAGCGTCTCTTTGTGCTTTATTGCCTGTTAAAAAGTGTTGTCATATAGACAAGGGGCATAAACTTTTTGTTGCATAAGCCAATGAGTCTATATTAACAGACTATCAAATCTTATCACTATTACATACTGTTAATAAACAAGAGAATTATATAATAAAAACTTCCATCTCTCAGTGCAACTTATGAAACATTCATTAAAACAGGGAGAAAAAAGAAAGAAAACACAGTTGGTACACAATATCGTTCAAAAGTTTGGGGTCAGTATGATTTTTAAGAAAGAAAGGATCACATTAAATGGATCAAAAGTGAAAGTAAACATTTGTAATGCTACAACAAATTTCTATTTCAAAATGTTATACTTATCAAAAAATCCTGAAAAACTGCATCATAATTTGCACAAAAATATTGACCAGCAGAACTCTTTTCAACATTGATAATAAAAATGACCACAATTTTTTGTGAGCACCAAATCAGCCAATTAAAATGATTTCTGAAGCATCATGTGACACTTAAAACGAAAAGTTTATAAATAATAAATTAAATTATAAAACATATTACCATAGGAAAGATTGTCAAAAAAAAAAATCTTGCTAAAAAATATGTAAGAAATATAATAATCTACAATCCCCAAACTTTTAAATGGTTGTTTAAGTCAAGGCAGAATGTGAGCTATTACGGTAGGGGGGAAAAAATCCATCACAAAAATGTTTAAGACAGGTAATGAAAACTGTCACTTCATGTAAAAATCTTATGATACTTGTTAACACATTTTGTCTCCATTTCACCAGAAGAAGGAAGTTTGGGTGGGATAAAAAAAAAAATCACTGTGGTTTTAATTAAAATACTGTGATTTTTTTCAAACAAAACCTCAAAGTTTGGAGTGGCAAATCCTGTGTTTAATACTCCAGAAAGTAAACATTAGAGATACAACATAGCAGGTAGATATTATTGAAACCCGGATACAATCTGAACGGATCAATAAACTAAACACAAGTGCTACCATCCAGTGTACGAGGACAAAATAATCTGAATGTTTTAGAATAGGACAGTTCATTATAATTCGATTTTGTAAAAACAAAACCTTTGAGCTCTTTTGAGAAAATCTTTGTAACATGTTAATTGGTGCAAAATTTTAACTTGATAATTTTAAGCTGTACTTTACATCATGTGGTATCAAACTAAAAAAAAAATAAAAAAATTCACTACTACTTTCTGAAAAAGTGAAAAATACTTTCACATTCTTTGTAGAATTATAATAACATTGATACATATGACATACATTAACCACCAATGGATACTCAATCCATCCATCACAATGGATGAAAAACAAGACAGACTAACTTTTAATGACAATACATACACCTGATCATAAAGGTTGTATTACCTCAAAGATACCATTACAAAGAGGGTGAATCTCCACAAATTCGTGCTCAAAGTAGTGATAAGGGTCCAACATTCATTAGTTGTTTTTTTAAATGGATGGATTCAGTTAAACGTACTCTGTGTGGGAGATTAATTTGAGTCCCAAGGTCACTGATGAGCAAAAAAACATTATTAAAATACAATACAAACCTCTTTTCCAATTGTTTAAAGCACATAAAGAACAATAAACAATACTGACCTGGTCAGAATGAATCTATATGGTTGCACTGTTTATCATCAGATAACAAAAAGAATCACTTTTCAACATATGTAATAAAATAAATGATAACATTAGAATTATCATAACTACGGAAAATATTTGAAGCTATTTTCACTGTTAATAAAATACAGACTGATGTCCTTGGGTTCATCGTGTATTACACTTCTGTGTTGTTTTAAAAAAAAGCAAAATACCTTGAATGGCAGCTGATGGCTATTACAGTGCATGTTGGGAAATGTTTCTTTTTTGTAAACATACCAGCTTTTCGGTTATCAGCATGAACATCGTGTCACATTCTTTTCACTCAGCCTTCTCTCTTACCACATCCTCTTTCTCTCCTTCCCCTCGTTCCCTTCTCTCTCTCTTTTTACCTCCTTTCATCACTTGTCCTAATCCTATACAAGCAACAGCGATGATGTGAATTATGAAGTATATGGAGCTCCAGTAGTTGATGGTGTCGCTGGCCTTCAGGAGAACAAAACCCATGCACATGTAGTCGTAAGCCCTCATCTTGAGGAACCAGTGGATCCAGTCGAAGATATTCTGGCCCTTCGGCCCTAGACGGGCTCTGACTGATGCCTCCATGGCCGATTCTGCTGCGATACACAGTGGGATAGTGAGAAAAGAGAGGTAGTAACCAGCATGGAGGCCATGCCAATAAGCACTGATTAGCATAGTCCATCCAGCCCTGTCATAATAAGTAAAGAGAGAAAACAAAGAGAAAGTTAAAGATTAGTGATGGTCAGTAACAACACAATGCAGTCGAAAGGTCAAATGTACATGCTTGTACCTGAGAGCATACGCTCTGAAAGGAGCATTGGGGTAGATGTAGTGGTGAAGCCACCACTGCACAGTCATGTTCCAGTAGCGCATGCCGTGCCGAACCTTTACACAGAAATCTGTGTTATAACAGTCAATGTTCTGGATCGTTTTAAAGTCATACTCCACAGCTGTGTCTGGATCAGGACTGAAATAAAAATAACATTTCATTAACATTATCAACCGCATTATCAAACCTTACGTGAGCTTCGAATTTCCTGTAGACAGTCTAGCTAAAGTGTCTTGTAGATCCACGCTTAAGAAATATGACCTTTTTTATTGTGATTACCATTTTCACTAGGGGTGCACAGTATATTGGGGCCATATTAGTTAATGCCGATATTAAGAGGTTAATTTTACTTTATCTGTACGGTTTAATTAAACAGCTGCCAACTAAAAGTTAATCTTAAACACGTTCAACTTAATCAAAACTTTTAATAATTGACATGAATACCAATTTGTCATCCCATTCATTGTTCTGTGTTTAAGTGCTATAAATGGGTCCCCGGTGCATCTACCAACCCAGAAAACGTGAAAAAGAACAACCCAGTAAATTTTTTTTTGGTAAGCCTTTCTCTGCAAGCTTGTGAAAAACGAGCCGCTCAGATTTCGCAGACTGTACATTGTTCAAGCTATTACACTGTACACTGTCTAACGCTGTTACTGTACAAAGCACAGTAAACAATTTCTATAAATAAAATATTATTGCACTACTGATATTCTGCATAGACTATACATTGTTTAACAATACTATTGTACACACAACCAACTCTTACATTGCTGCTGTTCATACTGTACATATAACCCTACATTGCACTCCTATCTATATTTTGTACATACTCTGCTTAATATTGTATATAGCAACTCCACTGTACATACTGTAAGTTATTACTTCACTTACTCTGCACTTATCTGTATATAAAACACTATATTCTTGCACTTCTGGTTAGATGCTAACTGCATTTCATTAGCTCTGTACTTAATTGTACAATAAATTTGAATCTAATCTAAATCTAAAAAAATTTCGCTCCGCCTGTGAAGTAGAAAGAGGATCTTATTATAATATTACCACCCCTTAATCTGTCAGTTTCACACCATGGTGCCACCATTGTTTTTGCAAGAGACAACGGTGTACCAGTTCTAACGTCATGGCGAAAGTTTGAACAAAGCATGCTAACTGTTCTGTATTAGGCTGCACTAATGAGCACTGAACACAGAGCAGCGGATTTATTGATGTATTTACTGTATATTACGTTGCTGCCACACAGATCTAATATAAACATGCAATTTCTTTCCTAGCTGATTACCTTCACAGACATAACCGACTGTTTTTGTAACTCATGTGCGTTTTTAACATAACCTTGTGTGTATTTGACAGTTTAAGCGCAATAAGACATGAAAGAGAAGTTTAGTACTCACATGCCTTGTGACAGCCGCTTTCTGTGCGCGTGCTTTGAATGTATGTGCACAGAAAACGGTATATCAGAAGTTTAAACTATTATGGTTTAAAACGCATGATTTCAGTATGATAAACATGATAATCAAAACCAAACAGATGTTTTTTTGGCAGAATATCTGAGGTACAAGCTGTAAAGGCACTCCCCTATTCTGGAAAAGGGGGCGGGGAGCAGCAGCTCATTTGCATTTAAAGAGACATGCACGAAAACAGCCTGTTTCTGCTTCCACTCAAAATAGGCATTTTCAAAATGATATAATAATCTGTTGGGTATTTTGAGCTGAAACTTCACAGACACATTCTGGGCACACATGAAACTTATATTACATATTGTAAAAAGGGGCATAATAGGTCTCCTTTAAATGAATTTTTAGTACTGTTCTGGCAACTATTTTATTTCTTAAATATGATATTTAATTTAGAGTAAATTAAAACTATTTAACAAATACATATATTTATAACCAACAAAACTGTTTGCAACTCTGATAATGTTTTGAGCACCATTTGAATGATTTCCGAAGGATCATGTGATGCTGAAGACTGGAGTAATGGCTGCTGAAAATGTTGATTTCCATCACAGGAATAAATTACATTTCTTAAAATATATATACAAAGAAAAAAAGCAGTTTTACATTTTATTAATACTGCACAATACCACTGTTTTACTGCATTTTTGAACAAATAAATGCAGCCTTGGTGAGCTTAAAAGTTATTTTCAAAAACATTTACAAAATTCCCGGTTTAAAACTACACAACTGTGACCCTGCTGTCCTCTGACACTGTGTTTTATTGGATCCTGCTTCAAGTAAATTTCTCTTCTTGGATAATTAATTAAAGTTCTTTTGCATCCTTTCGAAGATCATAACTGTTATTTCCTGGTATAAATATATTTGTAGGTGGACTTTAAAGTCTTCAGATTTACAAGTTACAGTCAAATTGTAAAAACACATTATAACTCTATCAATAAAGTTAAACACCCTACCTATATTTCACCGTTGGCCCTCCTCCAGGTTTGGACAGCGCTCCCTGGGGGTAACAGCCTAGACCTGCACTGATGCAGCCAGCCTCTGCCCCACACCACGCAGAGTAGAAACGCATCCGGAATACAAAGAAAATCGCCACCATGTAGAAAAACCTGAAATATAATACCTTTATGATTCTCAATATGATAAGAAATTGTAATAATGTATGATTTAATTTTACCATCTCCTTTGGCATTTAATTTGACTCTCTTTGGAATGGTATTTTAATCCAGAAAAACGAACCTGTAAAAATAGTTGTGGTCCAGGAATTCATCAGTATGGACATAGGACAAGGGAAAGACGGAGTTGACGGCTATGAAAAGAGCTCCGTAAACGGGCACCATCTTCAGCCTCTGCAGGCAGGGCTCTTTACGCTGCTGAAAATGTTGATTTCCATCACAGGAATAAATTACATTTCTTAAAATATATATACAAAGAAAAAAGCAGTTTTACATTTTATTAATACTGCACAATACCACTGTTTTACTGCATTTTTGAACAAATAAATGCAGCCTTGGTGAGCTTAAAAGTTATTTTCAAAAACATTTACAAAATTCCCGGTTTAAAACTACACAACTGTGACCCTGCTGTCCTTTGACACTGTGTTTTATTGGATCCTGCTTCAAGTAAATTTCTCTTCTTGGATAATTAAAGTTCTTTTGCATCCTTTCAAAGATCATAACTGTTATTTCCTGGTATAAATATATTTGTAGGTGGACTTTAAAGTCTTCAGATTTACAAGTTACAGTCAAATTGTAAAAACACATTATAACTCTATCAATAAAGTTAAACACCCTACCTATATTTCACCGTTGGCCCTCCTCCAGGTTTGGACAGCGCTCCCTGGGGGTAACAGCCTAGACCTGCACTGATGCAGCCAGCCTCTGCCCCACACCACGCAGAGTAGAAACGCATCCGGAATACAAAGAAAATCGCCACCATGTAGAAAAACCTGAAATATAATACCTTTATGATTCTCAATATGATAAGAAATTGTAATAATGTATGATTTAATTTTACCATCTCCTTTGGCATTTAATTTGACTCTCTTTGGAATGGTATTTTAATCCAGAAAAACGAACCTGTAAAAATAGTTGTGGTCCAGGAATTCATCAGTATGGACATAGGACAAGGGAAAGACGGAGTTGACGGCTATGAAAAGAGCTCCGTAAACGGGCACCATCTTCAGCCTCTGCAGGCAGGGCTCTTTACCTGGCAATGACAGAGGATTGGACTGCTGCAACCAGTCTGCATACGTCTGATAACGGAAGAAGGGACCTGCAGGACACCGGCAAGAGTGGGTGGGAGAAAGAATGGAAAATGAAGGAACGTGAGAAGAGATTGGTAAGAGTCAACAATGAAGACATAAAGCAGATGGGCAAAGATAGGATGGAATATAGGGATGGAAACAAATGGAATATTGCAATGAAAAATGAGCCACGGTTTGGGAGGACAAATCATGGCAAAAGAGGAGCAATAATAAACACAATTAGTTATAAAAAGAAATTGGACTCACACATTACTGAACTAGTAGCAGAGAGAAACATGTTAGCATTCATGCAAAACAAACAGCACAGAACATTTGAATAGACTCAAAAGCATTCCCACATATTCAAATCAACACAAAAAAGCAAGCAAAATACCTGTCATTACGCCTACATAGCAGTAGCTGTATGATATAATGTCATAAAGTGAAGGCTCATGGGAAAGTCCTCCCACCACTGGGGATTTGGTGAAGGTGCTCACTTCCTTTTTCTTCTCCAAGTGATAACTTTGAATCTCATTGGCTAAACTGACCATCTGTGCATTCAAAACAAAACTAATTCAATATATATCAAGAGTTGAAAACATGGTAAATGTGTCTCATTATATTCTCTCGTACCTTCAAAGTTAAAAGAAGTTGAATGGCATTGGCAAAAGGTGTTGGTTGAGGAAGGCCAAACCAGGTGACCAGACGGAAAAAGAAGAGGTACAAAAACGTCCAACCCAAAGACAGAGCAGGGGCACTTCTAAATAAAAATACAAATAAAAAAACAGACGATGGTCGAACAGGGGAATCACACCAAATCCAATGTAAATGTCCAGGCAGCTATATATCATACTAACCGCCAGTTGATCTTTATAATCAGCCATGTTCCTAACACTGTAAATAGAGAGTGTAGAGTGTGGATCCCACAGGTTGCTATGGAGATGATCAAACCTAACAGCAATGCTGCCCCCTGCTTGACTGGAGGACCTGGGAAATAATACACAGGAAAATGATCAAGGGCTGTTATATAAAGTCACGATTCTGAATACTTCTCTATTGTGACATACATCTGAGAATAAAGGATTATCACTAAATAAATTAATTAGGGTGGGAACTTGGTTCCATGCATCAGTTGTTGATTGGATTTTGAGACGTGGGCATTACACTTAACAATATAGGAATATGAATGTGAGTTCGCTTTAGGGGGGTGGTTACTTTGGGGTGGTGTTTAAGTGGAATAAGTGATCGGAGAAGTCCTGTGTACATCACTGGAAGATCCAGTTATGACATTTTGATTTTTGAAAAATTATGAAGTCAATTTATTATTTTTTTTAAATCAAACATATGCAAGGATGAATCATTGACAGTAAGATTTAGAACATGCATTTAAAACAGATTAAATTTTCATTTTGTGCTGACTTTATAATAGGGTGAATACAGGGACACTTAAGCTTAATCATCCTTCTCATTATTATTTCATTACTCCAATCAGCATTATGTATTCATACAGCAATGAAGCATCACTGGTACACTGGGAAAGCTAATAAATTAATTGTAATTTAGTATATTTATTTGACCAACATAAATTTACATTTTGACCCATTTACTATAATAATAAATAATTTGTCAGTAAAAACTGTGATCTACAGGGTTTTTAGGTGGGGTCTATCTATGTGTGTTTGAAGTGAGATTTCAAGCTGTAGTACTTTTTAATATTCTGTACTTTTTGTGACACAACAACATTGTGTGATGGGCTGAGCCATTCTAAAAAAAGAAAAGAAAAAGTAAAACAATGTCAAAGTCAAATTAACCAGCTTCACCTGTATTCACCTTATTTTTCACACATCAATGTGAAGAATAACATGGTCAGACTTACTTAGGTAGCGGAAGAGGAATCCTACAGGTATTGATGCAGCAAGGATTCCTAGGTAGACTAATTCATCTGGTGACATCTTTCTGTTTACACCAATAACAAAGTATAACAACTGTCTCACTGTTTAATACAGGGGTTCTCAACTCTGGTCCCCGAGGTCCACTTTCCTGCAGAGTTTAGCTCCAACCTTGATCAAAGTTTGAGAGCAAGAGTTGAGAACATCTGGTTTAAGATATCATATTTCATTATCAATCTAACATTCAAATTGAATGTGGCTTGGGTTAAAGGAAGAGTTCCGCCAAAAATTAAAAGCTGTCATCATTTATTCACCCTCCAGTTGAGTTTCTTTTTTTAACACAGAAGATATTTTGAAGAATGTGGGTAACCAAACGGTTGCTGGTCCCCACTGACTTCCACAGTAAGGAAAAAACATGTTTACGGGTGAACTATCCCTTTATTCAGTTTGGAAAACTGCCTACATTTAAGCAGTCATCCCATCTTTGACTATTATTGACATTAATAAAACAATGAGACGTTTAGGTAATGCTTATGCAAAACGCAGTTAATCTTTGTTTAGATTTAATTAATTACTTTACTGAACCAAACATTTCCAACTTGTCTTGACAGGTCTGTTTTTTAATGCATCTAATAGACTGGCCTTGCAGATAAGCAGACTGACAATGGATCAGTAAGAATGGATAATATATATATATATATATATACCACCTATAATTCTAAATAACCAGTGCAATACTTACAGCAGTGATATATGGAGATGTGCTATCAAGACGATTTACTCAGAAGGATATTAAAATATCCTGCAGCCCCCTTCAAGCGCCCGCACTGGCGTTCTCTCCTCACCACTTCCTACTACCGCATATGTTCATGGATCGCTTTACGAGTTGCCAGATATTCGTAACTTCTTCTTCTTCTTGGTTTTTAACGGTGGCTGGCAACCAACGTAAATAGGTGCATTACCACCACCTTCTGCTCCGGAGTGTGAAACAGAGTTTTATATTCTATTTATCAGCCCCGTCTCTCTAATAAAATCAAAAAAGACTTTTTGCTATTTATTTCACTTGACCATTTTATTAAAGCCTTAACATTGTATTCTTAAATTCCATTTTTCCCTATTTCTTCTATAATTTTTCCTCTTTCTTGTTCGTACTTTCTACATTCAAGAAATACATGAGGTATTGTTTCTTCAACATAACATTGTTCACATAAACCATTTGGATGTTTCCCTATTATTTGAAGTGTGCTATTTAAATTTGAGTGCCCTAACAATGTTCTGTTATAGATAACCTCTTCTTTCCTTGATTTACCTATACACTTTATATTTTGATTTACTTTGTTTATTAAACTGCAATCTACCTTTTCCCCATTCCAATTTACTCCAGATTAAAACCTTAATCTCTGATTTACTTAATGGAACTTGTATCTCTATTGTTTCTCTTTGTAAAGCTTGTTTTGCTAATTTATCCACTTCTTCGTTTCCCCGTATTCCTATGTGTGTGGGGACCCATATAAAACTGACTGATGTATCATTTTGAACAATTCTTGCATGTATTTGTAGGATACTAAAGAGAATATCGGTTTAATAGATCTCAAACTCTTTAATACTGAAACTGAGTCAGAACAAATTCAAACATTCTCAGGTTTGTGTTCCTCAATGCCAAGAGTATTGCTATTTCCACAGTATAAACTGCCAATTGTGCCAAATGATTTGAAGTTTGCTTTACTCCACTGATCCACTGTCTTGAACTAAAAAGGCAGCCCCAGTTATCTGACGTTCTGGATCTTTTGAGCTGTCTTTGTAGCCTACTTGTACAAACCCGATTCCAAAAAAGTTGGGACACTGTACAAATTGTGAATAAAAACAGAATGCAATGTGGAAGTTTCAAATTTCAATATTTTATTCAGAATACAACATAGATGACATATCAAATGTTTAAACTAAGAAAATGTATCATTTTAAAGGGAAACATAAGTTGATTTTAAATTTCATGGCATCAACATCTCAAAAAAGTTGGGACAAGGCCATGTTTAGGGGATATTGAACTCTGATATTAAATTGAAAATGCCGATGACAAGTCCAGATATTCATAACAAACGCAACCGTAAATTATAATGAAAAAAAGGAGGAGACAAATTATAATTTTTTTGTCTATACAATAAAAGATGCACATTCTTTTAAAACACATTCATGGTCTTGTAAAAATAGTTTTATAAAAGTCCTATCATTTTACCACAAGTGCTCATGTAATGTGAGAGTTATTTTTTTTTACATTTACATTTACGGACTGTAAAAGATATCTGAAGACCAGAAAAACTGCAGGTTTTATTATGAGGTCTATAATAATAAACGTAATTTATTTTTCCCATTTTCAGGAAGATAACAGTTAAATAAAAGAACCGGTCACCGTCTGAATATCTGGCAACCCCTTCAACAGACGGGCACTTTCACTGTGGCTGTTAGGGGCGGAGCACTGATTGATACAGGAGCTCAGCATTGAGCTTTTAGTTTTCAGTCACTCCTAAAATATTTGGAACTTGTCGCAAAAGTTTATCAGTAACTACAAAGCATGGTGCAAACAAACCTGCCTGGCGATTAGTTTTTAATCAAAAACAAGCCAGACATTTTTATTGCTTTTACTTATTAACTTCATAAGGTCTAATCTATAAGTTCGTCAAATTTATTCACTAACTTCAAAACTCAACATGCCCACCCCAACCATTGAAGGCAATGTGCCGTTATAAATTGACTTCGTTTACTTCGGAGTAGTGATGGGCGTTGAATAGTTGAAGAGCTGCTGGAGAACTGCAACCAAAAAAAAAATCAGCTCTAACACACATAAAACACCTTTTACAAACTAATTGCAAGTGTTTTATTGAATGTGTAATATATTAAAGCCAATTAACAAATCATCTAAGACCGTTAAATATGAAGAGTCTGTTTAATATGTTATTTTATTAATTTGTAGGGCTTGTTTTGTTTGTTTCATGATGAGCTTGGTTAATCAAACCAATAGGAGACTAAGAACTATAACAATTCCTTTTTATTATAGCCTACACATTCACAAAATTGATCAGAGATCTGGGGCAAGTTCAAGCTCAAACCGGTGCACAACGTTTTGCTCCGGTTTCCGGTTTGAACGGAAACGGTGTGCAACGGGGTTTGAGATGCGTTTTCTCTTGTTTGGTGGGTGTGTCAAAAATGTCAGCCCAATCAGCAGCAGCATGTATATAAACCACATGGTATTAAAGAGACAGCTGGCACAATGTAATTAACATCAAAATAAATTCACAAGAGCAAGTATATTGTTTGCATGTTTATTTACATTAAAGGCAAAATAACTGAAATAATAAGAGCGCATATAGATCTGGAACTTCTTAAGTCTGTCTAAATCTCATTTAGTAATTGCAATTTCTTCTGGTCCACATCCTTTCCTTAATGTAACATAAAAATACTATGCATATTTATATATTTTGCTATTGTATTATGGAGTGACACTTTCATAAACTTTTCTATAATGTTACTCCTCTGATTATATAATGGTAAATATTACAATATCATAGCGCAACAACAGTGATCAGCAATAATGATAAGCCTAATACTCACAATAAAAATAATAAGGTCATATATCACAACACAGTCTCGGAGGTAAGAAGTGGATTATCCTTCACCTGAAATGTTTGTCTTTTCATCCTGAAATGCGAGGCAATTGTTGGTGTTGTGTTTGTTCGAAGTAACACAAATAAAAGTCGAGACAACAATGGGCAGTTCTTCTTTTTATTTTACTGTTCAACAACTGAACACCAGCTCCGTTAACACAGGTGTCCTCCTTGGACAACCAACTGGCCAACCAGAATCTAACCCGGAGTACCCCAACAGTACTTGTACTTTATTCTGGGTATATTCAACTCAATACACTACACTTCCTCCCCCCTTAGATAAGATAATCTCAAACAACAGTTTCGCTTTTAACAAAACATTTCCCCATATAAAGAAATAAACTTATGCTACTGTATGATTGCAATGTCCCATTTAAGGTTTCTTTTTTTCTCTTCCTTTTATAAATCAAGACGGGTTGGTGGTTTTTGTATACGGGTAGGGTAACGTTTCTCTTCACAGGTTGGAATTGGTGTTTGTGGCGCTTCACTGAGAGGTACACTGCTACCTTGAGGTGTTGTTGTATCACTTCCATTTGTAACAGTATTCGTAGTGGTGAATGGAACACTCACGGGACCACTTTCCAGAGGAACATTTGATCTTCTCAACTGATCAATGTGTCGTCTCCAGGTGGTATCTGGTGCAATCTCGACTGTATATGACAGCGGTCCTGTTCTTTCTTTTACTTTTGCAGGTGTCCATTTGTGATCTCCTCTGTAGTTTCTAGCGAGCACACACTCTCCAACTTCTAACTCTCTCGTTTTTCCTCCTCTTTGTGACTGTTTCATCTGTCTGTCATGTACGGTTCTCCTCAAATTGGGTTTCAGCAAGTCCAGCTTGAACGTAAGGATCTACCCAGGAACAACATGGCAGGTGTTCGATTTGTGGTGACATGAGTTGCATTTCGATATGCAAACAAGAAATTGTAAAGCTTCTGTTTTAGTGTGAGCTTCTCTTGTGTCATGGCCCGCAGTGCATTCTTCAAGCTTTGCACAAATCTCTCAGCTAAACCATTTGTAGCTGGGTGGTAGGGCGCTGAGGTCACATGCTTGATTCCATTGTTCTTTAGGAATATCTGGAACTCCTCAGCTATAAACTGGGGACCATTGTCACTCACC